AGGGGGGTCTGGGCAGCCGTTGGGGAGCCGTTGGGGGGCCGTTGGGGGGCCGTTGGGGTTTGCCGGGGGGGGGGGGTCGTTTTTCGCAAACAGTCACACACCTCGTGCTTTTCGATTTCCCAGAACTCCATTCCCGGGCCACATTCTGAATGCCCGGAACCAACTGTAGGCCACTTCGTGCTCTTCGAGTTCCCAGAACTCCATTCCCGGGCCACATTTTGAATGCCCGGAGCCAACTGTAGGCCACTTCGTGGTCTTCGAGTTCCCAGAACTCCATTCCTGGGCATGATTTTGAATGCCCGGAGCCAACTGTAGGCCACTTCGTGGTGTTCGAGTTCCCAGAACTCCATTCCTGGGCATGATTTTGAATGCCCGGAGCCAACTGTAGGCCATTTCGTGTTCGAGTTCCCAGAACTCTATTCCCGGGCCACACTTTGAATGCTGAGGCAGGCTGATGCTGAGGCTGAGGCAGGCTGAGGCTGAAGGCAGACTGAAGCTGAGGACGAGGCTGAAGGCAGACTGAGGCTGAGGCTGAAGCAGGCTGAGGCTGAGGCTGAGGCAGGCTGAGGCTGAGGCTGAGGCAGGCTGAGGCTGAGGCAGGCTGAGGCTGAGGCAGGCTGAGGCTGAGGCTGAGGCTGATGCAGGCTGAGGCTGAGGCAGGCTGAGGCTGAGGCCGAGGCTGAAGGCAGACTGAGGCTGAGGCTGAAGCAGGCTGAGGCTGAGGCTGAGGCAGGCTGAGGCTGAGGCTGAGGCTGATGCTGAGGCAGGCTGAGGCTGAGGCTGAGGCTGATGCAGGCTGAGGCTGAGGCAGGCTGAGGCTGAGGCCGAGGCTGAAGGCAGACTGAGGCTGAGGCTGAAGCAGGCTGAGGCTGAGGCTGAGGCAGGCTGAGGCTGAGGCTGAGGCAGGCTGATGCTGAGGCAGGCTGAGGCTGAGGCTGAGGCTGATGCAGGCTGAGGCTGAGGCAGGCCTGAGGCTGAGGCCGAGGCTGAAGGCAGACAGGCTGAGGAGGCTGAGGCTGAGGCTGAGGCTGAGGCTGAGGCAGGCTGATGCTGAGGCAGGCTGAGGCTGAGGCTGAGGCTGATGCAGGCTGAGGCTGAGGCAGGCTGAGGCTGAGGCCGAGGCTGAGGCAGACTGAGGCTGAGGCTGAAGCAGGCTGAGGCTGAGGCTGAGGCAGGCTGAGGCTGAGGCTGAGGCAGGCTGATGCTGAGGCAGGCTGAGGCTGAGGCTGAGCTGATGCAGGCTGAGGCTGAGGCAGGCTGAGGCTGAGGCCGAGGCTGAAGGCAGACTGAGGCTGAGGCTGAAGCAGGCTGAGGCTGAGGCGGCTGAGGCTGAGGCTGAGGCTGAGGCTGAGGCAGGCTGAGGCTGAGGCTGAGGCTGAGGCAGCTGAGGCTGAGGCAGGCTGAGGCTGAGGCCGAGGCTGCAGGCTGAAACTCAGGCTGAGGCTGAAGCAGGCTGAGGCTGAGGCTGAGGCAGGCTGAGGCTGAGGCTGAGGCTGAGGCAGGCTGATGCTGAGGCAGGCTGAGGCTGCGGCTGAGGCTGATGCAGGCTGAGGCTGAGGCAGCCTGAGGCTGAGGCGAGGCCGACGGCAGACTGAGGCTGGGCTGAAGCCAGGCTTGAGGCTGAGGCAGAGGCAGGCTGAGTTGAGGCTGAGGCAGGCTGAGGCTGAGGCTGAGGCTGAGGCTGATGCAGGTGAGGCTGAGGCAGGCTGAGGCCGAGGCTGAAGGCAGACTGAGTTGAGGCTGAAGCAGGCTGAGGGCGAGGCTGAGGCAGGCTGAGGCTGATGCAGGCTGAGGATGAGGCTGAGGCAGGCTGAGGCCGAGGCTGAAGGCAGACTGATGTTGAGGCTGAAGCAGGCTGAGGGCGAGGCTGAGGCAGGCTGAGGCTGAGGCAGGCTGAGGCTGAGGCTGAGGCAGGCTGAGGCTGAGGCTGTGACTGCGACTGCTGTTGCCACTGCGACTGTCATCGCGAATGCGACCACGACTGCGAGAACAGCAGAATTCTACAACAGGATTCTTATCTGAATCTTAAGGGGAATGCTTCCAGATATGCTCCTACACATCGCTGTTAGGTTGCTTTGCCGGGATAATGAAACCAAAGCTCGTTCTCGCACCGCGGTCGCAAACAGCGACCATGGTGGGCTCCGCATTGTCAAACCACTTGGCTTCTGACTCGAACGGGGCAGTTGGGTCTTCATTCAGATGGCGCCACCATTTCAACGCTTGGTTGTGTTGCTTAAACGAAGTGCCGAGCCTCTCTTCATAACTCAAAAAAATTAACATCAAACTTCTCAAAATCCTGGGGCCCGCGCGCCGCCGCCGCTGCGGTGGCGCGGGGCTCCTGCGCCGCAGGCGCGGCTCGGGATCCCGACCCCTCTCCTGAAACTGTGTTCCCAGGTTCTGGTGAGTTTCGGAGGGCAGCCCTCGCGAAATTATCGAATTCGGGCATGCCGAGACCAGGGGCGCGGGGGCTCACAACGCTAAGCGCGGCGAAGCGAGACGGCCGTTGAGGCGAGACCGCCGCCGCTGCTGCGGCGGCAGGGCCATCGCGCCATTTGGCGTCCTCCGTTGGCGTGTTCCCGTCTTGTCGCCAGTCTCTCCAACCCCACGCTGACCAATCATGGCCGTCCTCCCAGCCACGCCAGCCGCTGCTGCGGCTATCCCACCATCCTCCCGCGCCACCCCATGTGTATCCGCCTGCATCGCCCATTGCAAGACGATGGCGCAGGCGCGCGTTAGGCCGCGACGGGCCCGGCTGCACCGTTGCTCGCGGGCGATCCCACGGGCGCGGGATGGTTTGAGCATAGCGGCGACGGACGACGCGATGTGATTGGACGGCGGAGAACTTGAAAGGAAGGGGGGTTGGAAACGGATGAACGAAGTGGACGAAGAGCGGAAATCGAACCAGAGGGGGGGGCGAAAAAAGAGCGGAAGAGAATGAGGACATGCAGACGAAGGAGAGTGACGAGGTAGATGGCGGGCCAGAACGGCAACGGAGGATAATGTGGTGGAAATTGTGAAAAGGACGCATGGAAAAAACACGACGAGGATCACAGACGCAAAGATGATGAGCGCAGTGGTAGCATGACATATCCGAAATCAAGAAGCAGGATGAGGAGGAACGGGATGACGAGCAACTCTGTCGCAGAGAGCCTCCGAACGCACCCCCTCTGTCACAGAGGGCCTCCGAACGCACCCCCTCTGTCACAGAGGGCCTCCGAAAAACACCCCCTCTGTCACAGAGGGGGGGAATGATCACTTTAATGCGGCTTCTGGATTACCCCTACCCCCATGATTTCTGAGGGGGGGAGGGTGGGGCTCACTTCGCTCAGGAACTCCCGAACGAAGTGAACTCCACCCTGCCCACACCGTCCCCCTCCCACCCCCCCGAGTTGCCCACCCCCCCGAGTTGCTACACATCACTGATCAGAGCAACTCGCCTGGTGAGCGTTTTCTTATTCGGCGTTTCGACATTGGGCGGAAAGCGGGGGGCGAGTGGGGGGCGGGTCTGGCTCCGGACCTCTGCTTAGTGCGACTGCTTGGAAGAATGCGGCCTCTGAGGGGAGACTCCGCCTGCTCGAAACAGGCGCCGAAAACAGCCAAGAACCACTCCATGGAGGGGCAGGGAGGGGGGGGGTGCGAGGGCCCGCGCCGATTGGCAAAACAAAGAATACAAAACGAACACGAGGATCCGGCCGTGGCGACGAGAGCTCTCAAGGACCAGCAGCGGTATCGGCACTTGCTTCCCATCTGAATCCTCCTCTACTCCAGGCCCCCGCCCTCATCGCTCCTACTCCTCCTCCTCCTCCTGATCCTCCTCCTCCCCCTCTCTGGAAGTAACGCAGGTTCAGGCAGTATCCTCCTCTCCCCCCATGTCCGTCTCTGCCTCCCTCCTGCTGGTGCTTGCCGCGTCTCACCTTCTCTTTCACCGCCCTTCCCGGCTCGAGGGATTGGAGGGCGGGTTTCACGAGACACCTGGCGTGCCGGGATACTGCCGCTCATTGGGGTGTGCGGCGCCAGACTGATAGAGAAGGAAAACAGGTTTCCTCCAAGCGTTGACACCGTGATTAGCAAGATAATCATCACAGCATTCAGGACATTGGCACAGAGCTCATTGAGGATTGCATCATCGGCGGGATAGAGACCCTCAGAGAGCTCTGTGGGATTCAGACCCTCCTCCTCCTGGACCTCCTCCCGCGGTACAGTTTAGAACCGTCCGGACGCAACAGTCACCATGATTCGTCCTCCTCCTCCTCCTCCTCCTCCTCCTCCTTCATCCTTCTCCTCCTCCTCCTCCTCCTCCTCCTCCTCCTGACCCACTGACCCACTGATGGCAGAAATGTCGTTCAGGCGTAGCCATTCCCCCCAGGGCCCGTCGGCTTAGCGGGGTGATCAAACGGAGAGCCTGGCGACTCCTGGAGCGTTCGCTCCAGGTGTCGCCGGCTGGTGGGGGATACATGCGAAAGGTTGGAAGCGACAAAGTGGCAGACAAACCATGGAAGAGAAATAACATAAAGGACGATCATGATAACCTCAAGCGAAAGATGCTCTCATCGAGTCCACGAAGAGTAGTAGGAAGTTTCTTGCATTTCCATGCATTTGACGTATTTGTCCTGCAGGTTTCGACGAGCAAATCAGATCTGGGGAAATGAATTATCGAGCTTATCCCCTACTCGAACACTGGTCATCCTCCCTCCTCCCTCCTCCCTCCTCCTGTCTCCCTCATCGCTCCCTCCCTCCACCTCTCTGAAGCTCCTCATCCTCCCTCCCACCCTCCTGCTCCTCATCCTCCTCCTCCTCCTCCTCCTCTTCCTCCTCTTCCTTCCTTCCTCTTCCTCCTCTTCCTCCTCCTCCTCTTCCTCCTCTTCAAGCTTCCTCCTGCCTCCTCCCTCCTCCCTCCCCCGCCCTCGGCGGGGCGCCGCCCTTGCGTGCGCCGCCCGCCGAGGGCGCAGACGCGGCCGCAGCGCGGCGGGGACGGGGAGCCGAGAGGCCGACCCGTATGCCGAGGAGCAGCATCGGCGCGGCGGAGCACACCTCGGGGCGTCCGAGGTGGGCGCGGCAAGATGCTCTGGGTTCCGGAAGCGAGGCCAGCGGTTGCGACGAGGGCCTCCGAGGAGGCCCACAGAAGAGCGACACCAGGGGAAGGGTAGAGGTACGGGGTATGGGTACCCTGGGTTTCTCGAAAAGCGTAGGGGGGTACCCCCCCGACGGGGGTCAGCCTGGCCTCGTCGTCGCGCCGCGACGGGGGTCGGAGCACCTTCGGCGCGCGGTGGCTGCCCGCGGCGGGGGTCGATGCGGGGCTGTCGGCGGGGGTGACTCCCCACCCCCCCCACGCTTATTCAGAAACTCGGAGTAGGTGCAACGTCTGATAGGCCGATTTTCCGAGATGGTGAGCGATTTTTGTTTTATTCGGCGTTTCGATATTGGGCGGCAAAAGGGGGGAGGGGGGGTGTCTGGCTCCGGACCTCTGCTTAGTGCGACTGTTCGGAACCGTGCGGCCTCCAGGGAAGACCCCACCCACCTGCTCGAAACAGGCGCCAAAAACAGCCAAGATCTACTCCACGGGGGGGGGAAGGGGGGGATGCGAGGGCACGCGCCCATCGGCAAAACGATTAATAAAATAACGCTCACATGGGTGCGGAAAACTAGGTGCAACGTTGCGATGGGCAGGACGAGGGAGGAGGAGGATAGGGGGGTCGTCCTCCTCCTCCTCCTCCTCCTCCTCCTCCTCCTCCTCCTCCTCCTCCTCCCTCCTGTTTCTCCTCACCCTCGTTATCCTCCTCTTCTTCTTCTTCCTCCTCCTCCTCCTCCTCCTCCTCCTCCTCTTCCTTATCCTCCTACTCCTCTTCCTCCTCCTCCTCATCCTCTTTCTCCTCCTCCCCCTCGTTCTCCTCATCCTCCTCTTCATCCTCCTCCACCGTCCTCTCTCGCCTACATATTGTAGCGCCTACCCATGGTAATGGTGGTGGGAAATCGGCCTATCAATGTCGAACAACACGCGTTGTACAGAACCAACAGCGGCCAAAATTGGGCACGCGGCCTTCTGTCTCAAATGGACACTGTCCGCGGCGACACCGGCAGCGAGTCCTTTTCACAATGAACAAGGCATGCCGTCGGTCTTTGTGCTTGTGTTTGCCGTTCCCATTTCGGTCGTCCCGAACACCCAGCCGCGCCCCTCCAGCCAGTCCTTCGGGGACAGCAAGCGACCACAACCACATCCAGGACACTCAAAGGAATGATGCCTTGCCCATGCCAGGAAGCGTGATTAGGAACTCCGGAGCCAGTTCAGAACTGACTGCGGTCGACGAAGGCGTCCCAGACGGCTAAATCGGCCACAACCACAGTCCAAGTGCCCATGTCGAAGTCGATGGGTTCTGCCCCGAAGGGCCTTCCATTGAAACACAATGAGTTGTGGTTGTGGTCATTCGGGGGGAAACAACAGGAGGGGATAGCAAAGGGTAGGGTAGAGAATCAGCTGACGTAGCTGATTTTCCAAGCGCCTCCCGGCGCCGGGAGTCGCCCATGTACCGAGGCATGGGCCTGGAGACGGGGCCGAAACCAGCTGCATGCAGCAGATTTCGTAACCCCCCTTTCCCTATCCCCCCTTTCGTTCGGGCCGAATTATGTGCCCGTAAGTCCTGCTTCAGCGTGTGGTCGGTCTCCTTCCGCCCCAGCAGGTTCGCCTCTTCCCGGGAGGGGTGTGGTAGAGCGCTCACGACGGGGAAAACTTCCGCGACCTGTTCGCGTACGCTGCCCTGGCAGCACGTCAGGGGCAACTCTGCCGGTTTCTTTGCTGGAGCTCCCCCCTGTCCGAGCTTGGACTATGGCCCGGGTGGATGGGCAGGCGGTAGGACTAGGTCGGGCATGTCCGCCTACAAGCGGATTTCGGAAGAAAACTATGAGGAAATTGTTAAAACATCGCCCCCGGTGGATTTTTCTATTTTTCTATACTACTTTGGAATTTCTTCCTGTGGAAGGACAGGCCCGACTAAACGACAACAGGCGAAGGGAGTGCATCCGTCTGTCGACGGCCTCCGCAAACTGGCCCCGACTCAGCCTGGCGCGGGGGCGTACAGCCCCCCGCCGTTGAGCGAACAGCACCCACTACCCCCCACAAAGGGCAGTTCTCTAGTCAGTGCTTGCAATGACGGGGTCCTAGCGATAATTCGAAGCATTGGCAACAATTTCCCGCCGATGTTGGTTCCCGGTTCTGGGTTCCCGGGTTCCCGGTTCTGGGTTCCCGGGGTCTTGGTCATCAGGGTTCCGGTCCGACTTCGGTGGGTTCAGGGTTCCCGGTCGATCTCCTCATCGATCTCTCTATCGATCGAACTTCCAACCATCCACTGATTGTTTTTCTCCATGGTGTAATTTTATGTCTCTCCCTCCTTCTGTTCCTCCCATCTCCCCTGGGGCGTCGGTGCACCCCGTGCAATAGCGCGACAGGCCCACCCGCAGAGACCCTGCAACCCCCTGCGCTGACCCAGCAATCACACCAGCCCTCTGGGCGTAGGTCGCTCGCTCCACTAGATTGTGCTCCCATTCTCTGATGAGGATCAGGGCAGGAGAGGGAAAGAGAGACACAACGAGAGACCAGCGGGGAGGAGACAACAGGAGGCGGGCATCGCTGCCGCTCAGAAGTGCGCCTTCGACTTGGGGGTTGAAGCGCCAGCCGGTTGCAACGCCAAAGTGGCGGGGGGGAAAAAGGTTGAACGACTCCGCGAGCACGTCAATGAATAGGCGCACAACGAAGAGCAGGCGCCAGGGACCAACGGGCACACCGTCACGTGGGTAGCGGGTGCTCTCCACGAATACCCAGCCGTCAACCAACTCACATGCAGGCGCTCGACGGATTTGAGTCCGGATCGCCAGACACCATCAAAGGCTGGTGTCGAGGTCCCGTACCACTAAGCGGGGACTGCAGGCGGCCGCGCACCGCCAGGCCAGGGCCGAGCCTGGCGAGCGAGGGCCCCGAAGCGCAACATGGAGGCGTCCAGCCGGAGCATGCCAGACCTCGCCCTGGAAGCAACAGGAACGCTGCCCGCGGGGGAAGGGACGAACCGAGGCGGCAGACCCAAGGCGGGCGTGGCAGGCTGCCTCAAGCCGTGGGCCGCGACAGCGGAGGGGCCGTGGCGGCGGCAGCAGAGGGCGGGCACGCGACCGGGGGGACGGCCCGCGCACACCGTGCAGCCGGAGAGCGGGCTGGCGTGGGCACTTTTTAGTCAGCGGCCGCAGGCGAGAGCGCCAGCGGCGAGTCCAGTCAGAGCGGGCCGCGCAAAGACGAATTAACCTAAAGCGGTGGGCCGTTGCCTCACGCGGCACCTCGGCGGCCAGGCCAACAAGTGAAGGGGGCTGGCGGCAACTGCTGGGAAGCTGCACTGCTAGGGTGCACGCATGCAACGCGCTGCAAAGATGGGCTGGCTGCCAGGGTGGCCGGCGGCCAGGGTCTGCAAACTGCGAGTGAATTGAGTGCAGGGGCGTAGGCACCCATGGAACCGCGAAGTACCAGGGTGACCGAAGCCAAGCGAAGCGTCAAGGGTTTGTTGAAGGATGCTTGCAGCCAGGCGAACCACAAGGGGGCATCCGAAACACCAGCGTCCAGTGTACCCGTGAGGGTAGGGTGAGCAAGTGGCCGCAGAGATACAGATTGACCTAGGCCAGAATAAAACATCCTTCAAGAACATGAGACCCTCCGAGGGCACCCTCCCCTAGGATGAACCAGAACAACTAACAAACATGAAAAACACGAGGGCACCCTCCGAGAAGCCAACCTCGATCTTGCGCCTCGGTCCGACCGAATTGGTCAAATAGAAGACATGTGAAAAATGAAAGGTGGTGAACCAAGAAATCACCTGGCACATGTCGAGGTGGCTCAAGTCGTACCCGGCCTGCCGCAGGTGGTCCTCGTACACGCTCCTGGAGAACTCCGTCAGGTGGCCAGCCTCGGGGCGAGGGGATCGCTAAGGAGCAAGACGAGAACAAGAAGAGGAGGAGCAGGAGGAGGAAGAGGAGGGGGCAGGTACGTATCGTGACGATCCTGGCGCTGGCTTCTGACACCGCGTGGACCGCCCTTTCAAGATCGGTGGATTTCCGATCGCTGGAGAGATCCGTATTGGCCGATGTTGGGCCGCTGGCGGCGTTCAACCTGAAACGCCCGCAGCGGGGTCGATGCAGCGTCGGCACGACAGGAAACTACTGTAGGTCACCTGACTTTAGGTCGCGCGTGTCCCCCATACAGGCGGATGTTGGACGACTTTTCCTTTTTTGAAAATATTTTTTGGTTTCAAAATAATATAAAACAGCGTACTTTTTCAAACAAGCGTTCCCTTGTTGTTTTGATATGAGAAATGCTGAATGTCCCCCCTGTAGATGGACAGGCCCGACTTAAAACTAACTTCGCGCTACGCGTTGCGGAAGTGCGAAACATGAGCATTCTCGCGCCGCCCCAAATGAAGACAGGCACCCCCTCTGGCTCTGCACGCCCCCCTCGGGAATGACGTCAGCGAGGCCTCGCCCAGAATTCGGTGTCGACCCACGGGTGCCTCTGACCAGCGCAAATCGGAACTCATCGACGCCTGTTCGACGCTGCCCTGCACCAGTCGAGGCCGAACCGGTACAACCTCATTGATTACCATCTGATAGTCGACGAGAAAACATGCTGAACGCGGCGGTGCGCGCGTGCACTAGGGACCCGACCACGCGAAACCTCCCGCAAGAAACCCAACCCTGAGACCCCAGGACGTCCATGGATTTTGGGGGTGGGAACGTCACGCTTCCCATCGCATAACCATCGAAACCAAAGAAACCCTGGGCACTAGGGAGGCAAGCAAATTGTCTCTTGGCATGGGCCCCCGCTTGATACGTACAAGGTTCCCACGTTTGACTACTGAAGCAAAGTGCCTTCAGGCACGACCCACGGAGCACGGAACCGTCCCACGGCCTGCGGCACCTCTGTCTTCTGAGCCGTGGCCACCTGTCGTAATGGAGAAATAGATACGGAGAGCAAGGAATGTGTCCCGCCAGTGGAATGAAATACGCATGTGTCTAAGAGCGATGGACGCGGCTCGGATGGAAGATTCCTGCCAACGACGGCAAGGAAAGCTTCGAGTGCGGTGCTCAACCGGATTCGTCGCGCTATCTGGTCTCCCGCGCGGAAGCTGCACGGGAAACCACTACGCTAAACTCTTGGACCCCACGGGACAAAAGACGACTGGAACAGCGCGCGCAAAAGCGCGCGGCCGCTCAGCCGACATAGTCAGCTGCGGCGGCACACGCTGGAGTGCACACTTCCTCGTAGCGCTCGCCCGTCCATGCTCGGCATTAGTACTTTTGAGCGAAGGATCTCTAGCCGCGCGATCGGCAACGGGTGTGCGCGCGCTGCCGGCCCGTGTCGCCTGCGTGCCGTGTGGCGTTGGGTCTGCACGCAGGCGCGGCGCGAGGCCGCTTAAGCGGCGGTGCGTCGGGCCTGGGCCCGTCGCAGCCGCCCATGGGGGCAGCCTCGCGCCGCGCCGCGCCCACCGACGGCGGCAGCAGGCGGGGTCGAGTCCTTGCACGCGCGGCTTGATTTGCGGTTGGCCCACAGCGGCATGAGTCGGCGGACACATATCGGCCACGGTCGCGCGGAGGTCGCGCGCGCGGCAGTGCGACGCGACCGCGGCCTCGCTGCGCAGGCGCGGGCCATCGCGCCGTCGCGCGCCAGGCATGGGTCGCCGCGGGGGGGGGGGCCCCGCGGGGCGTGCGCTTCGCAGGTGATTTGCAATTTGGAGGAGGCGCCGCGCGCGCCCGCGCGCGCGCGGCAGGTGCCTCCCTGGCGCGCGTTCTTTCTCCCACCCTCCACCCTGTCTGCTGCACGCCGGCGTCGCGCGAGGCCGTCCAAGCGGCGGTGCGTCGGGCCTGGGCCCGTTGCAGACGCCTACGGGGGCAGCCTCGCGCCGAGCCGCACCCATGGCGGCAGCAGGCGGGGTCGAGTCCTTGCACGCGCGGCCTGATTTGTGAGCCAAATTCATAGCGACGCGCAGTCCCCACAGGTTCGCCCAGGCGCCGGCGTTGACTATGACGCCTACCGGGTCACCTGGTTGGTTGGTGCTCGCCAGATACCATGGCGACGCGTTCAACGAACTCGGGCCACCGCAAGAGCGTCGGACTGCATGGTGGCACGTGCAGGTCCAGGCGGGCGTCGCAGGGCACCGCCGTGTCCACTGCGGACGCAGAGCTGGAAGCACTGCCCGGCGACTGCACGATGTCTAGCCGAGGAACAGGTCGAGGGAACTGCACGCTATCCGGCTGCGGCGTTTTCTCCCCCGGCACGCCCCCGTCCGCCGCCGCGCGGGCCGGCGCCCCAGGCGCTGGGCCCGCGCGCGATCTGCGCCAGTAAGCCGAAATCGGCGATCATGTCGGCGGGCCACGGCTCGCTGAACAAATCGGGCGCTTGTGCTTTCCATCAGGCATGATGCGAGATGTGGCGGCGCTGCAAGTGTACCACCTTCTCACGATGCTGGGAAGTCTCGAAGCAGCTGGAGCACGGGGGCTCGGGAGGCGGCGCGGCCAGCATAGGAGAAGGCTTAATTTAACAAAGGTTTTTGTCAACCTCTGTGCGGCCTGCTGGTGTTGCTTGCCCTGCTGCGTTGGCCGCGTGGAGCTAGATCCATATAGAGAGCCAATGCGGAGTGCGGAAACTAAGGCACGCATGCCTAACTCGGCAACTGCACGTCGGCAGGCGGGGCCAGAAGCGAAGCGATTCGTGCGCTGAGGTCGTCCGCACACTCGCGCCCATGAGCTGGCCCCAGTGGGAAAGCACCGTCCATTCGGGTCTACCGTTGTGGCGGTGGTTGTGGAGGTGCTGTGGAGGCTGCTGGAGCTGGTGGTGCTGCTGGAGCGGCTGCTGCCCCCGGGGCTGCCGCGGCTGGCGTTGCTTTTCCCGCCGCTGCCGCGCGGGCTGGCGGCGTAGTCGCGGGGCCCGCTGGTTGTGCAGAGTCTCACGCGCGGCTCACGACTCCTGCCATCTCCTGCAGTAGTCGTCGTAGTTCGGCGTCGTGGGGGTTGGGCGGTACCGAAAAAATGCTGATGCACCGAAATGATGTCACTGCACCGACCTTGCAGACGTGCTGCAGCCGATTTTTGCGTGGATTTCTGCCAGTGAAAAGCCCCGAAACTGCGAGTGAAAAACTAAGTTAACTTCGCGTGGATCTGTCTGAGTCTTCATCCCTGGCCCACAAGAAAACCCGCACGAAATGCACCTCGAAATCCGGAGCGATATTCTCTAGGACGCCCCGGGCCCATCCGATCGGTTTCCGAACGAAATCCGCTCTGCGATGTTGGCGCCAGGACATGATGACGACAACGACGGCTGGGAAGGAGGCTGCAGGGTGAGCAGCTAGCTGGCCTCGGCGGTGAGGAGGAAGCCGTACAGCCACCGCACGGGGCTCAGGGCCGGGAGCATCCACCCTCTGCCGCCGAGCATGCCCACGAGGTCGGGGAGCAGGGGGTTGAAGGATCCTCTGGGAGCTCTCGGACTGCTGGGAACTTTGCTGCCGAAAGGTTGGGGGGGCGATCAGTGGATGCCAATACGGGTTACATCTGGCCTGATCCAGCTTCAAAAATGGTCGCACATGCCCCAAAAGGCTTAGGGGAGTCAGTTAACTCCGCTAAAGTGGGCGGAGCCCACTTAGCGCGGATAGTTAATCCCCTACATGCCACTTGGGCCATGCGTGACCCACTTAGAGGCTTGATTAGGCCAGGTATAACCCGCATTGGCATCTAACTATAGCCCCTTTATCCCCTCAACAACCGCCGCGCCGATCTCAGTAGGAGTGCTGCAGACATAATCCAGACCTCTTCGCCCAGCTCGCCCTGCGATGCGCGATTACCTCCAAGCCCTCGCGGCCTCGGGCTCCTCCTCCGGAGAATGGCAACTGCTCCGGCCCAGACATTGGCGTTGCGCCAAGGGAAGTGAGACAACTTCTCCAAAGCGCGAGGGCTTCTGAGAAGCTCTGCCGCTTTCTGAGAAGGCCCACCCCGGCCCCCTCTCGTTTCCTCACTGGGCTCGCTATCAGCGCGCCCTTAGGGTGACCTGGATGAACATGAACACGCACCTAGGGAGACCTAGGAGGAGTCAGAATCGAACCGATCGACGACAGAAGGCAGCCAAGTCGGGCGAAGTCAAATCAGTGGGAGTCGACAGGCTGGTAAAAACCCTCCATCGAAAATCCGAAATCCGAATCGGAATCCAACATCTTTTCATTAAACCGGAATTGGTCGAAATCGAATCGAATCGAGTCGGAGAAATCGATATGAGCCTGGGAAGAACGCACGGCTCTTCCGGGTCGGCGTTGTCCCCTCCCTTACCCAACGGCGCGCCCCGACCGGGGAGATCCGCGCGAACATTCCGAGAGCATAGCACACAAGCAGCGGGAACCAAACAATGACATAAACTTCCTGGTCAGCGGCGACTTGGGTCCCAGACACGTTCGGGGCAGCGGGGGACATAATGGAGCCTGAGTGGGCGCAATACGAGAAGGAAGTTCGCGGGTGGGGGGGATAAGAAGGCGGAGCACGCTCAGAGCATGAGGTCCTGGAACGTGAATGCCAGAATGGCACACGCACGCGAGGACGTGGGTAGCACTCGAATCCAAGGGCCACATTCCCAGGCAATGTGCTGCCAGATAATGAACAATGGCATAAATAGCCAAGTAAGTATTGCACAATGTGTCGATTGCTTGTTTTGTCGTCGGAAGTCTCAGGCGAAAGACCCATTTCGAACAGGCGCCGTCCTCTTTCCCTAGAGCTGCTACAAGGTTTGTTTAAGACGGCTGTCCTCGGCTCCAAGGCGAGAACTGCATGTTGAAAAAAGAATCGCCCCTCCCTGCAACTGCTGCAAGCTTCTAGGACGAATGTGCGCGGCGCTGAGACGAAATCTGCATGTTGCACAACAATTTCGACGGTCCGCGCGACTTTCTCGGATCTGCGCTGGGGCCCCTGGCGGCGCCTCTGGCGCGTTCCGCGCGCCAGGACGGGGGGGAGGAGCAGCGCCGATCCAAGACATCCGCGCGGACATCCGACAGTTTATGCCAGCGCTTGGTCCTCGAGAGCAGCGCTTGCACTCAACTACTTTCAAATGAGCTTTTCTTTTCGGCGTTTCGACATTGGGCGGAGGGGGGGGAGGGGGGGGGTCTGGCTCGGGACATCTGCTTAGTGCGACTGTTTGGAACTGTGCGTCCTATGGGGTAGGGACCCCGCATGCTCGAAACAAGCGCCAAACACAGCCAAGATCTACTCCACGGGGGGGGAGGGACTCCAGATTCTGATGTAAATCCTGAACTGGAAATATTAAGTTCTTTAAGCGAAAGCTATATGAACTAATGGCAATAAAGATGATAATCTTTTACTGCTTTGACTTGAGCCAGTACGTTACAGTACGGTATTGCTTCTAGCGTATGAGACAACATGCCTAACAGGTCCTAGACATAATAATCTCAACTCTGGTCCTATTTTCTTTAGGACATGTTGGATCTTATATATATATATATATAAAAAAAAAAAAAAATTAAACCCAGTCGATTTTACTGGAGTTCGGTAGCGGCCCTAGGAAGGAGAGAGAGAGAGAGGAGAAGAGTAGGACAGCAGTCCTAAGTAAGCCATAACAGGCTTATCATATCCACCACGGCCACCAAATATAAATCCATTGAAATTCATCAACTGAAATAAATCTGATGATAATCCATCTCGAAGTGGTAGCCGATAACGGTGAACATAAAATACTAGCTCCACAATTGAAGTCGAACAATGCTATACATGTGGAGCTGCTCATATAACTTCTCAAATATAACCAAACTCCAGATCATACTCCAGATTCTGATGAAAATCCTGAACTGAAATATCATAGTCTTGTCGTGCCGGACTTGGTACTGTCTAGTCCAAATCCTTGCCTGACTCGCAGTGTGCCTGCGATCGTCCAACAACCGGTGGTGATCAGCTCCAGAAGTGACTTGGAGTCTGCTCCCACAAACTTTGTCAACATATCTGAAACCATCCACTTGGTACGTACATGATAAAGTCGTCGTAGTCTCAGGGTTCGTCGCTCTTCTCGAAGCGACAGAATACCCAAACGCTGTGACTTGTCCTGTGGTGTTCCTCGAAGTCCGCAACATAACTCCCACAGGTCCATACAATCAATGAAAGCGTCCACTGGTAAACTCAACTGCCCTCGGTCGAGTCGTTCTTGAAGCTGTAGTGGCTTCTGAGGTCCGCATAGAATGTTAATCTCCGGTTCTGTGAGCCTCATGCCGATAATCTGTGCCATGGGAACTCCTCGTGCTGCTGCCAACGTTTCCGCATGGGACGTGCTGTGTGAAACTCTCTTAGACTTGGTCGAAGTGACCACTAGTGCGTGTAACTTGCCACTGAGCCGATTGATCAGATTGTCCTGCAGATAATCTTGTCGGTCACATAGAGGAAAATGTAGTCGGTCTTCTTGAAGACCTATCGTGACTCCTTCTGTGGCGAAGTTGCTGTTCTTGTTGGCTGAAGAGGCGTCCGTGATACAAGAGATCCGTAGTGGTGCCTTGAGCCTCCTGTAGTAGATGCCAAACTTCTCGGGATTTTTCTTGAGTCTCTTGATCACTGCGTTGATCGCCAGGAGGTCCTTGATGGTCGGACTCTGTAGCTTGGTCTGTAGAGAAACAACATTGAATAGTTCCTCCAGTCGTGTTTGGCATGCCCAAAGTGCTCCACAAGTAAGAGATCTGAACGTCTTGTGTTCAGCTGCCGTACAGGGTGCATCTGGTACATCAACTCGCTCTTTTGGTATAACACATGGCGAAAGACATGATGTAAACTGATCTTGATGAATGCGTATACACGTCGGTACAATTCGTTCGAGCTGTAGGCCAGCATGTGTATATGGCATCGTCTGCCTCTTGAGCTTGCCGAATCTGGATTCCAACTTTTTGTGTATCCAATCGCGATAAAATCTGCTGCCAGTAATCTGTAAGTCGTCCACATGAACAGTCATGACTAAAACGATCACCTTGTTGCCCTTGTAATCGATGCCCCAGTAAAGATAGTTGTCGTCGAAAACCGATGATTTAGCTCCTGTCTTATCTTTGAGAAACTCCAACAAGGCCAACTGAAACATCAATGGTGCGTCTGTGAAACCATACATTGCTCTCAAGCATTTGAGGGCATATCTGTGTCGATCCTTGTCTGCAACTTTCCAACTGGAAGATGCCTCCGGCATGCGTCGAAAGTGACTCCACACATTCTCCGGAGGAAGGATGTAGACTGTCCGGTCTTCGCGATACTCATAGCCGAGATTCCTTGCTTTCTCGCGTAGGTTGTCGTATCCAAGTCCTTGTAGGAAAGCCGTTGAAATATCCAGGCTCTCGGTGTCGACGTCGCCGTCATTCTCGTCGTTCACATGTAGAATACCTTCACAACATCCTAAACTCAAAACCAAACGCTGCGATAATCTTGTCGCTGTCGAGCTGTGCTTCTCAATAAAGTTCTTCTGTCGGTCGAAACAGCCTCGAGCGCATAGTCGTGATTTGACTTCAACATGTTTGACCTTCCATTTCCTTACCCATGTACAATCAACTATGTTCGCCTTATCGGGTAGGTGGTCTCGGAGTACAGGTTCGAAAATATCATGAGTAACAAAAGCCTTCAACTCCTTATGATCTCCTGCAATAACCAACTTCGCAAAACGTCTCATCTCGTCATCTGTGAGGTTCGCCGTCGAATCATCAACTCGAAAAACCATTGATTCATGCAAATCGTAATGGAAGTATAGGTATCGGTCCGAGTCGGAGTAAAGTGTCGGAGATACAAAATCAAAATCATCTGAAAGGTTGCTGATCATCTCGTCATAAATTGCTTCCATACTTTGCTTGTGAGTTCCATCGGGTAGTCGTTCGCATAGATTGACAATCTTGGGGATGTCAAGGTGGTCAATCGTTTCCTGGTATAAGACCCTGGTATCTCCATCTGGGTCGTCGCTGTATTCCAGAGTTCTGTCAGTAGAAGTCGAGGGTTGCTCTCCTGCTGGTACTTCATCTTTACGAATGGGAAGTATAGGTGGTTCCGTCGAATCCGCTGGAGCTGGCTGTGTCGAGGACGTACCCGGTGTAGCCGCTGGTAAGTCCGTTGACGATGAAGAGGCTCCTGGTTGATATCTCCCCGTAGACGTCGTCTGTGGTCGTGGTGGTGACTCAGGCTGCCAAGGAGAGGGCCATGGATATGGCGATGATGATCTTCCTCGCTTCTGAGGTGGTGACTGTGCCGCGTCTGGAGGATCAACTGCTTTCTGCTTCTCCGCCGTGCTTGTCTTAGACTTGTCCAAGTCGAGAGGAATATAGGGTAACTTGTCAGGAGTAGCTGGAGTCTGCAGTGAATCCTCTGATCCTCGTGTGTCTCGGTGCTGTGGTTGCAACGAAGGTGGACCCATAGGTGCCTCTCGAGAGATACGTCGAGGTGCTGGTCCAGGTGCTGGAGGTAGGTCG